ATGAGGAAAAGAAAATCCAGGGAAGTCTGAGTTTCATTGGAGCAAGTATAGATGATTAGGATATGATTTCCTGGCATGGTCTGAAAACTGTATTCTTTCATTCCAAATAAATAAAAAATTCTTACAATGCTCAAGCGAGTTTAAGTGCTGCACCATAATAAAATGGCTTGATTTTGCAGCTGAGACTTGGCACAATTCATAGACTAAAAGAAGAGCTTAAGAAAAGCTGCAGGCAATTTTTTTTTTTTAGTATCCCGGGGGAAAATGAGCCATTCCCCATGTACTTTTCAAAAAGGCAAAAATTATTTATCTCCTGGAATGAGCAATGTAATTAAAACCTTTTTTTTTCCCCTATGTTTAGTCTTTCAAGAATATAATTACTGGGTATTCTTTTCTATACTTGTTTCATCCACTCTTTGTTTTTGCCAAGAGATAAATACTAAATTCCGTGCCTTTCTTAGGCCCTTAAAACAATTTATTTTCATGCCAAACCTCTCATTAAGCCTCCTCCCTTTCTTTTAAGAAATTATTTTTTATTGAGATATAATTCACATAAAATTTACCCTTTCAAAATGTACAATTCAGTGGCTTTTAGGATGTTCACAAAATTGTGTAACCATTAGCACTATCTGATTACAGAACATTTTCATCATACCCAAAAGAAACCTGTAATTATTAGCAGTCACTCTTCATTTTCCCTTCTTCTGGCAACCACTAATCTACTTTCAGTGGATTTGCCTATTCTGGATGTTTCATATAAGTGGAATTATATACCATATGCTCTTTTGTGTCTGGCATCTTTCACTTAGCATGATGTTTTCAAGGTTCATCCATGTTGTAGCATGTATCAGTATTTCATATCCTTTATGACTGAATAAGCATTCTGTGGATACTCCTTTTCAGAATATTTTAAACAAGCCTTTTTCTTGGTCTTACTGTGATTATAATCTGTTGCAGTTTATTTTATGTTCATAAAAGAACTTCTAACAGATTTAGTAATATATTTTCTATAATTACGGTTTTTTATAATTATCTTCCCAGTGTGGTGGCTCAGGCTTGTAATCCCAGAACTTTGGGAGGCCAAGGCAGACAGATCACTTGAGGCAAGGAGTTCGAGACCAGCCTGGCCAACATGGTGAAACCCTGACTCTACTAAAAATATAAAAAATTAACTGGGTGTGGAGGCAGGCGCTTGTAAACCCAACTAATTGGGAAGCTGAGGTAGGAGAATCGCTTGAACCCAGGAGGTGGGAGTTGCTGTGAGCTGAGATCATGCCATTGCACTCCGGCCTGGGCAACAAGAGTGAAACTCCATCTCAAAAGAAAAAATAGAATTATCTTCCCAGATACAAGTTGGAAGCATCGGAGAGCAACCTCTTCTTAGCCAATTATTAGAAGAGTTGTTTTCCAGTGGATTGTGTTTTGTTTTTAGCCTTATTCAAAAGTTATACCAGCTATGAAGTTAGAAGAATTATTGAAGAGATTTAGCTAAAATCAGCTGTAAAGAAAATTAGACCAGTTTTACAGTCAGTCTCCATATCTCAGTTTCACATACACGTATTCAGCCAACCACAGATCAAAGGTATTCAGAAATATAAAGCTATAACAATAAAAATAATACAAACACTTTAAAATATAGTGTAACAACTATTTACATGTCATTTACATTAGATATTACAAGTAGTCTAGAAATGACTTCAAGTATAGGGAAGGATGTGCATAGGTTATGTGTGAACACAATGCTCCTTGACTTATGATAGGTTTACCTTTAGAAATTTTATTTTTCTTGCTTGCTTTTTTTTTTTTTTGAGAAAAAGTCTTGCTCTGTCGCCCAGGCTGGAGTGCAATGGCACGATCTCGACTCACTGCAACTTCCGCCTCCCTGATTCAAGCGATTCTCCTGTCTCTGCCTCCTGAGTAGCTGGGATTACAGGTGTGCACCACCACACCTGGCTAATTTTTTGTATCTTTAATAGAGACGGGGTTTCTCCATGTTGGCCAGGCTGGTCTCAAACTCCTGACCTCAGGTGATCCACCCACCTCAGCCTCCCAAAGTGCTGGGATTACAGACGTGAGCCACTGTGCCTGGCCCATCTTTTCAATATTTTTCTATTTATGATGGGTTTATCCGGATGTGGTCCCCTCATAAAGACCATATTAAATGTGTGTATTACCATCCTAAAGTCAAAAAATCGCAAGTTGAACAATTGAAAGTTGAGGACTTTCTGTACTACACCGTTTTATGTAAGGGACTTGAACATCCACAGATTTTGGTATCTTCAGGAGTCCTGGAACCAGTCCCCTGTGGATACCAGGGGAAAACTGTATATCTTTTTAATTTTGACTTAAAAGATTTCCTACTAAAATGAGAGATGTTCTGTGGACATTTGGCAGACTTAGAAAAGATAGGAAAACAACTAAGGATTTATGTCTTCCTATAGGCATCTAGTGTTTTTCAAATTAGAAAGGTAAAAACCATTAAAAATTTATTTGTCTATATTGGAATGGAGAAAAGGGCATTTGCTGTTCCACAAGTCCATGTCTCAGAATATTCTAAACTAATTTTGAAATAGCCACATCAGGAGATCTTTAGGACTCTGCTCCCCAGATGATGCAGCTGCTTCAGCCACTGACTTCCAAGGCTCATAAGCTATTGGAGGAAATGGAAAGGTACATAGACATCATCAGTTCAGAGTGCGTTAGGCAGATGAAGAGCTACAACAAATAAGGAGTTCTGCATTTATAAGAGAGGGACCCATTAGTTTTCACTAGGGACATCAAGAAGATGCATTTTTTTAACTGATCATTTTGCTGTTTTGATTACACCCAAGTTTACATGTGTGGAATATTCTCTTCTAAGTTGGCTATAGTTTAATGGGACTGTCAGACATGGGGCCATGCTATCTGGTATCCATACTGAGGCTATAAATCTCTCCTGGAACTCTGAAATCCTCGAACTTAAAGAGAATGGTTGACACAGATTCATTTTAGTGGCCTGGCCAGGTGTTTGATGGCCTGTTACACAGCCTCATGGATCTGCTCCTATTCTTGTCCTTTATGGACCAGGTCTTAGGTCTGTCTCTTGATTCTGCAGAGTAACTAATGCATTTCTAATAAATTCATTCTCTGCTTAGGTTATGGTCTTAGGGTCTAACCCTAAATCCTATCAAGTGTAACAATACAATTACATTAATTTTATAAAATTGCTTACATTATTACACAAATGGAATTTTTGTAAAATAGCTCTGCAAATTGTCGTGTATCTAAAAGTTATTTTTTTAGGATAAGCATATATATTGGCTGCAACAAACTTATAAAGATCTCACGGTGTGATTAGGGAGACAAGATTCAAAATACACAACATTAATGACCATTTTTCTTTAATGCAATAGTCCTATTTGCTTTCTGTACCTTCTCTATCATATCTATAAATTCTTATCTCTGTAAAACTCAATAATCTGGTGGTTTCACTGTAATTCAGTATTAATATATTACAGTCTGCTTACAGAAATAAGATTAAAAAACAGCTGGACATGAGGGCTCACACCTGTTATCCCAGTGCTTTTGGGAGGCTGAGGCAGGAGGATTGATTGAGGCCAGGAGTTGGAGACCAGCCTCAGCAACATAGCGAGACCCCATCTCTACAAAAAGTCAAAAATTAGCCAGGTGTGGTGGCGTGTGCCTGTAGTCCCAACTACTTGGGAGGCTGATATGGGAGGATCACTTGAGCCCAGGAGATTGAGGCTGCAGTGAGCAGTGATTGTGCCACTGCACTTCAGCCTGGGTGACAGAATGAGACCTTGTTTCAAAGAAAAAGCAAGAAGATAAAACATTAAATAATCATTGAATGAAACAGTGCCTAGAATAGTACCTGGCACAGAGTAGTTAAATTAATGAACAAGTGAATGAGTAAATAAGAGTGATGAGTGAATAGTACATGCAATATACTCTGTGCATGGGCTGCTGAGCTCTACAGGAGAACATAAGCAAAACCACAGAGATTATCAAGTTTATACATTCATTGTCATCGATCTCAATTAAACCCTTAACACTGGCTGTCTTTCAGTTTCCCTAGTCAGCTGTCTCCCACTTTCAACAACTATTTCAAAACTTCTCCACTTGCCTTAAACCACCAGTCAACCCAGCACCCCTTCTCATTCTTGGTAGATGACTCCTTCCTTCTTCACAGAACAAACAGAGGTGACCAGACAGGAATTCTCCCCTCTTTTGGTCACCAAGTTTACAATTCTCCCTGTTCCCTGCCCTAATAGTCCTTTTCCTCTCCCATTCCAGTAGAAAAGCCATTCCTCACATTTCTGGATCCCATTCTTTTCTGACACTTTTGTGACTTTTACTTATTCATCTTCCTGATTTCTTATGTTAAAAAGTAAGTATTTTCAAGTCTATTTCATCTCAATGTCCTTTGATTCACATCCCTGTTCAGTTACCACACACCTTCCCTATTGTCTATTTCAGTAACTCCTTGAAAAAATTCACCTGCCTTTCCAAACCAATCTTGGTAACATTTTCAGGAACTTCCATGTTGCTAAATCCAATGCATACTTTTCAATCCTCATTTTAATGTACCCATCTCCATCCTTTGTTTTTTTATTTTCTTTTTTTTCCTTCTAGTGTTCTCCCCTACCCTACTATGTTCTTTTTTGTCACTCTGCTATTTTGCATCCTACAACTCTAGCACTGTATTATTATTCTTTGCAGGACTCTATTCTATGCTCCTGTTAGTAGTAAGTGTTCCCCAGAGCTTCATCCTAAGCCATTTCTCCCCACACATTTATGCTAGGTAATTTGGCTTATTCCCTAGGCTTTAATTAACATCGGTTTGCTGATAACTATCAACTATAGATGTTTGGCCCATATTGCTTTCCTGAGTTTGAGACAGATGTACCTACCACATACCTGCACTTAAATGTCCAACAGGTACTTCATACTCAAAATAAATGAAATTCGGCAGAAGTGTCATTCTTTCCTTTTTGCTATAGGCCCAAGTGCTTGCTGCCAACATGGGCAAATTCATGAAACCTGGGAAGGTGGTGCTTGTCCTGGCTGGATGCTACTCTGGACGCAAAGCTGTCATCATGAACATTGATGATGGCACCTCAGATCGCCCCTGTAGCCTCACTCTGGTGGCTGGAATTGACCACTAACCCTGTAAAGTGATAGCTGCCATGTGCAAGAAGAAGATCGCCAACAGGTCAAAGATCAAGTCTTTTATGAAAGTTTATAACTACAATCACCTAATGCCCACAAGGTACTCTGTGGATATCCTCCTGGACAAAACTGTCGTCAATAAGGATGTCTTCAGAGATCCTGCTCTTAAATGCAAGGCCTGACAAGAGGCCAAGGTCAAGTTTGAAGAGAGATACAAAATAGGCAAGAACAAGTGGTTCTTCCAGAAGCTGCGGTTTTAGATGCTTTGTTTTGGTCATTAAAAAATAAAAATAAAAATAAATAAATAAACAAAATTCATCTTCTCTTACAAACTTGCTCTTCTTCCAGTGTTTTTTATTTATGAAATGGTATCACCATTCACTCACTCACTCAAACCAGAGACGTATGTCACTCTTTGCTTCTCTCTGACTTCTTACCACAGCTGGTCAATTCCCAAGTTCTATCAATTCTACCTTCCTAAATATACCTTGAATTAGTTCACTTCTGTTCATTGCCCCCATGCTCATTGGTCCACTATTGTCTCTTGTAAGAGCTAGTGTATCTGCCTGCAGTTAACTGGTCTCCCTGATTTCCTCTTATCAAACCCCCCATACTCCACAGTGCATTCCCATTCCTTGCCCAGAGTCAGAATTGTCTTCCAAACAGAAATCATATTATTTGAATGCTGAAAACTCTTCAGTTGATTTACATTGCCTTTTTAATAAAATTCAAACTTCTAATATAACTTATAAAGTCTTTCATAATCTTGCTCCTGCCTTGATCTCCAATCTCCAGCCTCGTTTCTTTCTTTCTTTCTTTCTTTTTTTTTTTTTGAGGCAGAGTCTTGCTTTGTTGCCCAGGCTGGAGTGCAATGGCGCCATCTCAGCTCACTGCAACCTCTGCCTCCTAGATTCAAGTGATTCTCCTGTCTCAGCTTTCCGAGTAGCTGGGATTACAAGCACATGCCACCATGCACAGCTAATTTTTATATTTTTAGTAGAGACAGAGTTTCACCATGTTGGCGAGGTCCAGCCTTATTTCTCTAGTATTCTCTCCTCCCCACTATGTTCTTTTAGTTCCCTCACTTCTATGACATTGAATTCAAAGCTTCTGTCTGGGCCCTCCTCCGTCATCTACCAAATTAACCCATGCATTCTTCCGGTTTTAGCTTAAACTTTCTTTGCTCCAGGAGGTTAGGAGTCCCCTGCTCTGTGCATGCACATAGTGCTTTATGCTGCCTTATCATAGGTGCATTAGGTTTTGCTGTAATTAATAGGTTAATTTTCTATTTTTTGTGAACTATAACAACTGCTTTTCTTGTTTTCTCTGTATTCTGCATCTGTCACTATGTCTGGTATATGGTAAGTTCCTATTAAATGTTGAAGGGTGAAAGGGAGTGAGAGAGAAAGGATTATAATAGGGAGTAAGTACAAAATTTGCATACATTTTGCTTTTCTGTCACACAAGTATGGTTTGCATTAACCTCACAAATTACATGTCAGCCTTTTTTGTTCTTTACTGTAAAGACATATTTAGGACATGCTGTCTGCAGATCCCACTGAATGGACAGAACAAGATCCTTAGACCAGTGGTTCTCAGCCAATGCCACTCACTGAAATTACTTGAGAATTTTTAAAAATTCTGATTCCTGAATACCGACTTTATAGATTCTGGTTTAATTGGCCTGATATCTGTTAAAGCTCTCCACATGATTCTGATGTGCAGCAAAAGTTAAGAACATGACAGTTTTACTACAGCCACTTCTCTATGACTTGCTTCACTGACTGATACTCCTCAAGCTGGTCGAAGAACAAGAAAATCAAACAGTCCAGATTCAACAGAACCCTGATCCACCCACTAGTGCTTTCAATTACAACTAAAAATGGCTGGAACAATTAAAAAAGTTTGTTGGTACCAATAACTATCAAGTCCAGAAGTAGTGTTGGTTCCTGTAAACATGATCCAGTGGCCTAGAGACGATCCCAATGCCCCCAGTATCTTTCCTGTCTGTTGGCTTTCTCCTAATTTAGACTCTTCTCATGGCCACAGATGGCTACTAAAGGTACCTGGAAAATGAGCCCATCTTTGTCATTAACATTATTAGAAAAATCTTTCAGACTCACTTTGGTTGGACTGGTTTAGGCTACCAACTAATTGCTGTGTTTGAGGGGTTGGAATGTAATAGAATAGGAGTGGAGTCCTCTTCCCAGGAGACACAGCAATCCCCAAATGAAAATGGGATCCTTTAGAAAAAAAGAAGTGAGAAAAATCAATGCTGAGACCATCAATGTCTGATTTACCCATACAGTGGTTTCAGCTGGCTGCAGAATTTGGTCACAAAACTGTAGCACTACTTTATAGTAGTACTGTGTACGTAGTACAGTACTATAAAGTACATACTTTATAAGTAACCCAGATTTCTACATCAATTCCCACAGTTAATGAGTACTAAAAAACTAAATGTGATTATATTAATCATAACACTGTTTTGTGAGAACATGAGAACAGAAAATTGTTTTGGATTCTGCAAACTTATGTTGCCTCACGTATGGCTTTTGTTCAGTGTCTCAGTAAACAAAGTTTTCTTGCCTCATTTTGAAAAATGAAAAATCTTAGATTCTCCAGAAAGAGTCTGATTTGTAGATACCCACCCTGCCCCTTACCCCCAGCTGAGTCACCAGCCAGGAACATTTTGTTGAGGTTTATTTTTTATAATTTTGTTATGAATCCAGTAGAGTTTTAAATTTCCCCCCAAATATTGTTGAATTATAATATTGAATATGCCTTTTCTAATCATATATGCTAAAAGAAAATACCCACCCCCCCCCCACACACACACACACTCCCCTAAATGCTTCTTCCAGCCTGGCTGCAGTGGCTCACACCTGTAATACAAGCACTTCAGGAGGCTGAGGAGGGCAGATCACGAGGTCAGGAGTTAAAGACCAGCCTGAACAACATGGTGAAACCCTGTCTGTACTAAAAATACAAAAATTAGCTGGGCATAGTGGCGTGCACCTGAAATCCCAGCTACTCAGGAGGCTGAGGCAGGAGAATCACTTGAACCTGGGAGGTGGAGGTTGCAGTGAACCAAGATCACACCATTGCTCTGCATTCTTTCCTCTGTGTATCCTCCAGAGAATGGCAACCCTCCCTAGTTGAAAACTGTTGTAGAACTTGCTGTCACCAAATACCCTTCTGGTTATAATTTGCCTTCTTAAGGTTCCCATATACAGAAAACGTGCTGACTAGCAAACTTGGATTTGGAGCTTGCTTATAGTTATGTTTCCCATTGCAAGTTAATTGGCATTCATCGGCCCTTAGAGTCCCATTGTGTCTATGTGTGCTAACATTTAAGTTTCTGAGTTAATAAAGCTGAGTACCACATTCTAGAACAAAGCCCCTCCCATAAATCTCACTAGGACCAGAGGTGCTATCCCGTCCTGGTGACTAGCTGGTCATTCTCCAAGCCACCCTCACCAGACTCCTTTTCCTCCAATTCTACTAGCATAATCATTTTTCAAAAAAAAGAGAGTCATAAAATTGCATAGGTAGAATTTCTTTTACTATCTGGAAATGCAAGATGGCACACATCTTTAGAAATATTGAAAGGAGAACAAGACATTTAGGTTGCTGTAATCCTAGGGTTGATTATGAGAAGTTCCCCTGAAGCGAGTGCTTGTGAGGAAGAACTCAGTAGCTAGAATGCAAACTTTGAGTGAATATTGGCCCTAAAAATCTCTGTTATGTGTGGTGGAAGGAAAGAAGCTTGTTAAGAGAGTAGAGACTAAATTCACCCATAGGCCTGCAAGTTCTATTATTCCACAAAACCACAAAGATGAATTTTGTAGTGATGCAAACATCAAGGATAAAGCCTTTTTATTTTATTGTTTTAGACGGCCTTTTTATTTTTTTATTTTTTATTTTGTTGCCCAGACTGGAGTACTTGGAGTACACAAGTTCATGGCTCACTGTAGCCTCGAACTTGTGGGCTCAAGTGATCCTCCCACCACAGCCTCCAAGAAGCTAGGACTACAGGCATGTGCCACCATGCCTTACTAATTTTTAAATATTTTGTAGAGATGAGGGCTTGCTATGCTGCCCAGGCTGGTCTTAAACTCCTGATTTCAAGTAATCCCCCTGACTTGGCCTTCCAAAGCACTGGGATTATAGGTGTGAGCCACTGTGCCTGGCCAAAGAGTAAAGCCTTTGCAGATATGTTGTTGTTTTGTTTTTAACTATAGAATATCTCAGACTTATACAAAAGTAGATAGAATAGTATAATGAACCCTCATGTACACATCACTTAGTTTCAATGATAATCGACTAGTGTCAAATATTGTTGCCTCAAAATCCCCACCCACTTTGCTCAGTGCCCCACTTTTATGTAATTATGAGTCAAATCTCAGGCATCATTTCTGAGATGGAGATTGTTTAGTTGAAGAGCAATCTTATTCTGGCTGGTAATATGAAAATGATCACTGTGGTAGAAGACTTGCATTTCTTCAGATTACAGGTTCCTTGTGGTTAGGCTGCACTATCCCAGTACAATTTCAATTGTTCTTAGGTGCATGTGATACTTGGTGTTAATTGAGGGGATTGTTCATAGGAGAATAAGAGCAAGTCTGAAGACCCCGGAAAAGGTGTGCAGGCCAGATTATTACCTTAAACTTTAGAGAGCTGGCCTGGATTTGGCTGGATGTGACACATACTGGGCCATGGAAGACCCTTACTACTACAGAATAAGGAGACACTTATTCTAAAACTGGAGAACCCAGAGGTGCATGCCATGGCTTGCAAATATTGTTACATCAAAGTAATCCTTTTTCTACTTGGGAGGCTGAAGCAGGAGGATTGCTTGAACTTGGAAGGTGGAGATTTCATTGAGCTAAGATGGCACCACTGCACTCCAGGCTGGGCAACAGAGCAAGACTCCATCTCAAAAACAGAAAACAAAAAAACCCCTGAAGAACCCACACTGTGCAAAATGTCCTGAATCCTGACTTCCTTTTGGGTCAAATCACACTTTCCTGAATGACAAAGTCAAGTCATCCCCTGAAAGGAGTGGACATTCCCATTGTCATTTGGAAGTAGACAGACTTTGACTGAATTAAAACATACTCTTTTCTTATGACCTGGGAGAATTCAGGAGTCCAGATTCCAGTTAAAAAAAAACAGGCTCAGGCTGGGCACGGTGGCTTATACCTGTAATCCCAGCACTTTGGGAGGCCAAGGCAGGCGGATCACCTGAGGTCGGGAGTTCAAGACTAGCCTGATCAACATGGAGAAAC